TCAGGGAACCGCAGCCCCCCCCCCCCCCCCCGCAGTGTTTGCTCTCTTAGGGCTGAGCTCATCTGAACTCATGAACTGAAAAGGAGTAATGCATTTTTAAAAAAAAATTTTTTTTTTTTCTAAATTGTTTTAAATCTCCTCAAGTAATGGCTGGAAAACCTTGGGAACAGGACAAAAAAAATCATGCCCCGGGACTAGTGTAATGGGGAAGAAACGATTCCCGTTTCAGTGAAGTTCTCAAACCATTGTCACGTCCGGGGCATTGTTCTGCCCTGTCCCGAGGTGCCTTCCCGCTGTGCCACCAGCGGGGCCACCGCTCCATGAGTTGTGGCCACCTTGGGAGCCCATCCTGGCAGCTGCCCGGCCGCACGCACCAGCCCAGGCAGAGGCTCCTGTGGTGAATCTCCCCGGGGCTCGGCGGAGTTTTCCGTTCAAAACTGCGGATGAGGTCACGGGCTCAGCTGAAAACGGCAACGCAGGTTTCTGTGCGATTGAGTTAATTGCCCGTAAGTGAGACTGTTTACTCACGGAAATATCAAATCTTTGTGTTTACTACCAGGATTAAGGTGTGCTGTGGGAGGGTTTTGGAAGCCTCAGCAGTTAGTCCCTCACTGTGCTGGTGCTGTCCCGGGAAAGCAGGCACTGTCAGTAGGGCACAAAGCTGGAGCAGTCGCTGTTCCTGAAGGTTAGTTAGCTGTTGTCTGCTGGGGGGGGGGGAGAACAACGACCAAAGGCAGTAAATGGTAATACATGGGTGTCTGTTACTTTGATAGTAAACTTCAGGGGTCAGTGAACCTCTTTTGTTCATGTGTAATGCTATGCGCTACGGGTCCATGGCAATGGCAGGTACAAGTTAAATATATTCTGCAACCAGGCGGTACATACCGAGATGTTCTTGCTGACGTCCAGACCCTAAAAACAAAAGGCAAATAAATTCATAAATAATGAGACAGTGAGACCACCTTACAGTGCTGGGAACAGACTGAGCACTGTTCTCAGCTCTGCCCTGGAGTCCACCCATAGCCTCGGTCAAGTCCTTTATCTCTTTATGATTCAGATTCAGTCCCTCACATGTCTGATAATCCCTTCTTTCCTCCTCCACCTCTCCCCTCTTGCATTTAGACTGACAGTTCATGTGTATAGCACCTAGTAGCCCGGGGACTAAAGTGGTAGGATTCCCATACAGTACCTGCACTGTAGAAGGAAATGGGGCATTTCATGCTCAGGGTACAAAATGCAATACTAAGTGACAATACTAAGGTGTGGTGTAACAAGACAGCACTAGGATTCAGTTGAAAGAGCGTGGATCTTGATTCTGCAGTCCTGATGAAGTCATCAGGGCTTCCCATGTGCTTAAAATAATGCTCATACTCCAGAACTTTGCTGGACACAAGCCAGAGCACGGAGCACCTTTCAGGATTGAGCCTTAATGGGTTTCTGAAATTCATTGAAACGTTTGCAACTGATTTGCAAGTTTGGGCTGGAAATTTCATGAGAAGGTCTTTCCCAGGAGAGACCTACTCCTTCCTCTTTCCTGTTGGGATGGGAATACTCTGATTAGAGCCTCTGCCCTGGCATTTCAGCACTCCTGATCCCCACCAGAACCTGAAAGCGCTGAGGCAGCTACAAACAATGAGAAAGAAAGGGAGAGGAAAAGCATTCGTCCAGGCTCCCTTGGACTTCAGTGACATGATTTCCATGAAACATTCTTTGGGGACCAGAGCTAATTACACTGATATGCTGCCAGTCTGGTAATAAGTTTTGCCAGCTAAGGAGGATCACTAAGATTTTTATATGCAGTAATGAACGTGTGGTTGGTTTAATCTCGCTAGCAGCAGTGTCCTGGTTTTGACAAGCAGTAATGAAGATACTTATGATGGAGTTCATGCGTCGAGTTATCTGCGAGTTAGAGAGGGCTAAAGCCCAGGCTGCTGTCTGCAGTGCTCTTTTTGTGCCTTTCTTGGCATATGGACATAGCCACTGTCTTCATTTAAGGTTGGAATCAGAGAGGCACAGAGCACCCTGGCCCTCACTGCCCCAGCCCTGGTCAGTAGCAGGCAGGATTGGCTTCTTCTCTGGCACCCCACTCTGCTCTGCCGGAGCAGAACTTCTCCCTGCTTCTCCCACAGGTCCCACTAAGTGTCTGGTTCCAACCTTATCACTCACCTTTCTTACTGCAGGGTCCTTTGATGGAAAAGCCTGTCCCTCAGCCATACTACCAGCTTCTCTGAACTCATTCTCCTTGTTGTTCCTATTGTTTGACAACTTCCTAAGCCCCACCATCGGCTGGCTGTTTCCTGAATCCAGGTATCTCTCTCTTCCTGCAATGAAACACAAGGACTTGCTCACATTTCTCAGCAGTGTCCTGCCAGGACGGCCTCTTGGCAGTGCTGCTGGCAAGCTGCAACTCCAGATGGGATGAGAACCCTAAGGACTTAACGGTGGGATGGGACCCCATGTGTTTTCATGCCATGGAAAGAAGGTGAATGTTCCTCCAATAAAGTGCCTGACCATGGCAGACTTTCTGATGGCTTCCTCATGGTCTTATTTGCCTTCCAGGTCTGCTCTGAAACTGCCAGGAAAGAGCATTTCTGAGCCTCAGCACTAGAGATCCCAAAGGCCATTTACGTTCTGACGCAATCCTGCTAGGAGGTGTGTTGATGTTCTGCATTTCACCAGGTATTAGAGGTGGGCTGAAGTCCAAGATTTGGAATAAACTGATGAGCCTCGCTTAGTGGGCTGGTTCACATCTAACATTGGATCAAGACTTTCCAGCTGGCTTTATCATCAGTAGGCTGAGCGCAGCCTTTCTCAGCCTTCTGGAAAAGTTGGTCTCTGGATCCAAGCTTTGCGGCTGGGGCTTATTTCCACTTGGTCTATAGAATAAGTCATCCTCCAGGAATGTGTTTGGTGCCTGCTTGAGAGGGTAAGAGACTAATAACAGGCATAAGGCTTTCCATCTTAGGTCAAATCCTACCTTGGCTGGGGGGATTTTAAAGCCACATGGAGGGGCTCCACTAATAGACCCATTCAGGCATGCTAGGTTTCCAAAAGAGAGACCCATTTTATTATGCGTTTCTCCTAATCTTTGTAGTGACAGCTGCAGAGCAAGAAGTCCTGCTTCACACATGTGAAGAAGTGTTAAAATCCTTGGTGTAGACAAAGCATTTTAAAATGCATCGCTTAGCTTTCCAGCTAAGGTGCAGTTCCACTAACACTTTTCTCTGTTCCCATCTGTCTTTCCCAGGGAAAAGGAAGTTGCCAGTCAGATTATTTCACCCAACTGGTAGCAAGCAGGAGGGCAGGTTAGAGGTATTTGAACTCACCATTGCAGCTGCTCAGCTTTTCAGTGTTCACTCCTATTTCTGGGATGATGGAAAGATCAGAAGGGTTTCCAGTCTGAACCAAGAGGCTGTGAGGTCTGCTCCTCCCAGCAAAAAGCATCTTCATGTCTTGGTACGAGTTGAGGAAGACACTGGCAGCTCCACAGGAGCAATGCTGCAGAAGGTACTCCTACATCAGACAAGAAGAAAGTATGCAGACTCTCAGGCTGCAACAGCCCAAGGTAACCGGGCGGTGCAATGGTACAGACAAATTGCAATCATTCCAGCCCAGGGGTGCCCAGCCTTGTCCCGAGACCCATCAGAAACCGGACAAATTAATTCTCTAGAAGGCTGAGGAGCCTAGAGTTGGTAGTGTAGATTTTTCATGGGTTCATTGGTGTTTAACTTAAATCACCTGATACTCAGCATCTTTTGGGTTTGCTTCCCAGAAGGAATTGAACACAAGTTTCTAAACACAGAGCTGCTCAGCTAAGGCATTTGGGTAAATAAACAGATCCGTTATAATAGTGACTCGCATTTTAAGATAATGTTATTTATTCTGGAAAGCGCACAGACAATAGTATCTTGTATTTTTATTGATGGGATGCCATAGTCGGCTTACAGTGAATCTGACTGGCATGTGGTACTTCAGCTGGTGTACTTCTGCTGTAGCTGGTGTGGTGGGAAGAGGAGATTTCCTACCTTGCACAACCGTGTTGCACAAGAGTTTAGTAGGGCAGGAAGCAAGGAGAGCTTTATCCAGCTGAAGTGGAAAGGAAAACAAACTGTTTATTGCTGTTGGAACCAGGACAGGCCAACACCAGTTTAGCACCTCCAGAGACCCCCCAGGCAATGGAGAGTTTTAATGTAACATCTCATCTGGGTATGTTGCCAAAGCAGCGTGGCACTTATACCTTGGGGGTGCTTTGAAAATCTGATGAATGATGCTGCTTTTGGCCCAGGGCATTAAAGATTTCCCTGTAAAGCAAAGATGTGGAGTAACCATGTTCCCTTTGTGTCCCAGGATCAAAATGTCATCAGTCTCTGTGGTGTCTGTACAGCTCTCAAGAACAGCATCAGGAGCACTGGCTTCTGCCATCCTCACAACCAGCTCTTAATACCACACTAACTCAACTCTGTTCTGGGCGTTGTGTCTTCCCTAGCCATGTCTGGGGCATGGAAACCTTCCCATGCTCATGGTCTGCATGTAGAGTGAACGCGGTTTGGAAAGTAGCCTTAGGACACCCAACAAAATGCAATGTGGACAGCAACCTCCATGTCTTGTGGCAAGTGAAGGTAGTAGTGTACCCCCTTCTACACAGAGGGGCTGTGACTCTGAAGAGGAAAATGACAGAGAGCTGCTCAGGTATTGGAGGTGCAGGCACCAGAGAGACACCCGCGAGCGAGCACCCGGTTTTGTAGAGCACATTGCCAGTGCTGAACGTTACATCTG